CAAACAGCTGAAGACCAGTCCGCACAGAGCATGGGCATGAGCATTCTTTAAATAGCCCATCTGGCGCCAACGGGAATTGTGCACGTGTGAATGCTCATGCACGCACCTGGTCACCATTCTGTGAGCAATACTATGTGCATACACATATATGCACACCAGACATCTCATAGGGATTTCCTGACATATTGTATACAATAATCCACATATTACCCTTAACACAAGCATAATGCAAAACCCTTAACATAGAAAAAATGTACCTGTTTTGAAACACAACTGGCCTGGGATCACCCACACCTCATCCATACACACAATGGCATATAATATATATAGATCTCTTTAACCGTTAGACTTAAGGAAATAATTCATCTCTGTATAAGGCTAGGTTTTTTCCAAACATGGCTTCACAGAACCGCATGGTGCTGTGGTCACTGCTTTTTTTTCACTGGTTTCTAGATTGGGTGACCTCACAGGACTTCCAAGAGCTGTTTCTGTTGGTTCTCAGTCAGTGGTCAGGGACCCTCAAATAGCAGTCATTCATTGCCAGCTTTCCAGTGCTGACTATAGGCTGGATGGGAAAGCTGAGTGGCACTCTTGCACCTGATGATTTCTATGTGCTCTGCTTCATTATGAGACATGTAAGTAGCCTATTTTAAGCACTTTAACTGATTAAAGATTTACATTGCTGCACTTAGCTGTGCCCTCTTTTTCTTTTTTAATATTCTGGACACCATTCATGAAATTTACTCAAAGCCTTCCTCTGCAATGTAATTTGAAAATTACTCCCCCACTCTCTCTCATGGCATTTGTCTGCCATGTAGTAGTTCAGCTGGTGAGGTCTGCGTATGTCTAGTCCACAAGACGTGTTACATGTCTAGCTGCTTTTTAGAGCAAGACCTTTGGAGTAAAAAGTTTCCAGGTTTTCTCTGTGAGACTTTCACTCTGTAGCACTTCTTTGGGGCTTCTGTTTAATCTCTCTATATCATTGGGCACACTAAACTGAGGATTTCCTATGCACAATATTTATCTCTCTCAGGAAGAATTCAAACTTAGATTGTGGGCCGTTGTCAGACACTATTGATGTGGATTTTCTTTGGAAGTACAGGTATAGCTACAGCTACCATCCCTAGTTAATAATTGAGGCCTAACTGGAAGACACATACTGCAGTATGGGAGATCAGATACCAAGTGTATAATGAAACTGTCTCAAATTATAACAAAAAAGATGCAAGTCATTACAGTCTTTGGTCATCGGTCAGATGTAGTTTTGATTGATTAGATACTGGTGACAATAATCAGCTGTTTGTGTTGTTTGTGGTATTTTTGAATGGCTTCTGAGTTTTTTTGCTTGGAATTCCCACTGTCTTGTGTATCTTATTTATAAGTTATGGTGCAACGTCTTAGGACTTGCCACTGATGTTTGCATTTATGGGTTGTGACGCCCAGATACATATGCACATTAAACACAAGGAGAAGTAATAGGAGAGGTTAGATTTACTGTGACCTAAAGTTTAGTGCTTAGGGGTTCCCACTCAGGCTTGTGGAGTCCTGTAAGAAGGATGATCTGGTGTGTGGGGGATGGGTGGGCTAGGTTAGTTTCAGTTACTGTCTTATCAGTATACTCTGTACATATATTAATTCGTAATTATTTTAAAGTAATATAAAGGTTTAACCTGGTACTATAAGGCACACCTTCCTAACACACTAGTTACTTTGGGTTACTTTCCCTGCTGAAGACTGTGGAGAGACATGTTACAGTAACAGATGTTATGTTTGAAACAAATTCAATTTCTTGCCATTTACTGTAGTAATCTATTAAAGGATAAGTTCACCTTTGTCAACATGTTACATGTTACACCCATACACACACTTGTGATAGCAGGCAGGGGACCTTCTCCCCTCACCCGCTGTCAATTAAAAAATAGTGTGGCCATGCAGGACTCCACCCCCACAACCAAATCATTTATTTACAGGGTTCTGTAAATGTATGCCGACAAGTACTGTCAGCGATTGCAGCTGATGGGTTGTAGTTCTTAATGGCTTGTAGTTCTTATTTGTGATACCAATCAATATGTTATGCTTTCCATTAGATTCCTGGCCTATGAAATTCATACTTATTGGAAGCAGCATGATAATGTTGCCAAGTCAAATTTCATCCAAAATTAAAAGTACAGTAGAGGTTATAATTTCTGGTTGAATCTTGCAGGGAATGTTTGGACAAATCTTGTTAAATAATGGGAACATTCTTTAACTCATTTGCCAACATGCTATCCATGATGCAGAAACTGTATTTATACACAGCACTAAGCTCTAAGAGGTTAATTATAAAAAAATTTTTTACATTAAAAAAAACTTATCCCCCCCCCCACCAAACATGTGGACTGGTAACCCAAAAGCAAAGGGGGAGCAAGTGCAGCCTTCTGCTATGCTGTTATCCACCCATATTCCCTTCAGCATTGGAAGTGCTTTCAGGTCATCCTATCCTAACTAACCTAGCCCATTTCTTATGTGCATCTGGCTTTTTGGCACCCTCTGGTGCTCAGGAGAGCATTCCTGAATAGGAGGACATTTTTTTATTTACCTGCCTCCCACGAGGGGCAACTAGGTGATTTCCCCCTCACCAGTGAACTTGTTTTAGGGTTTCCCAAGGGCCCTAACCAGTTCACCAGTGCATATGGGTAAGAATTGTAAATACAGAAAGATACAGCATCAGTCCTTTGCTGTCCTGCTTTTAACTAGTAATTACCTTTCCTGGGTCAGGCAATGTCTGAAGTTGTCCTGCACTGTCTGATCCAGTGGTGACAGGTCAAAAAAACAAGAAATGTACAGATGTTTAGGCCCAGCTGATGTTCCCATGCTGGACATGGTTTTATATGCCCAAGGAACTCTGTGATGGCATTCCCTGTGACATCAATATCCAGCATTTTTTGCACTGGATAAATACATTACTGTTAAGTAACGTTCATGACTGAGTGCTGGTAATACAGGCTTCTTTCTATTCTTCCACTTTGCCAGTTTTTTCTAACTTTACAAAGAATACTTTTTTTTTTGTTTAAACACCTGCTTTGTGCTGTTTAAAAGTCATTTTCTTATTTTGCAGCTTTGTGGTTGTAAGTTTCAAATATTTATAATATCTGCAAAAGGCCGTGAGAAGTAGATCTGGAAGCTACAAGGTAAAAAAAAAAAAAAACTAGGAAAGTCGGGAATGTACATTCCTTAAAGAACAAAACCCTTATAGTAGCTTGTGTGTCTATGCTGTAAATAGAAATTGTTCTAAGTTGTTGGCAACTAATCTGTCGCTGATGATGACTGACTGATGATGTCGATGTGCCTTCCTGTGAATTATGCACTTTAGTTTATTGCAGGAGTGCTTTCTCATGAATTTTTGAATGCCCAGCTATTCTAGAAGGAAGCTGTTGGATGTGATGATGTCACCTATGTTTCCCAAAAGTTTTAAAGGGTGGGCCATGGTAATCTTATTTTGGGTGATAAATTATTATTATTATTATTATTATTATTATTATTACAGGTACATATATAGTGCTATCAATTTACGCAGCGCTTCACACACATATATATATATATTTTACATTCACATCGGTCCCTAACCATCAAGGAGCACACAATCTAAGGTCCCTAACTCACATTCATACATACACATACTGGGGGCAATTTTAGGCAGGAACCAATCTGTTTGTTTACATGTAGCACTGCCTTCTTGAGGGCTACTGAGTTTTTGGGTCCCCCTAAGCTCTGCACAGCTAGGCAACACACATTTTCCACACTTGCATCCACAGTCAGTAGCAGTCCATGAGCTTGTTTTTTGTTAGGGGTTAACAATTTGGATGAGGTCTAGGAGTATATGGGATGCCCAATGAAACTGAAACAACTTGGAGGACAACTTCTTAAAGTTAAAAATACAGCAAAAACCACAAAAGACCAGATTCTAGGTTCTCTACTACTTCAGGAGTGGTTCTCCCCTTCTGACAAATCGACACGCAGTCTTTGAAAGGAGCACTTGGTCCCCTTTAAATGAACCACCTCGGATGAAGGTCTCCTCAACCATCTGGCTGTCTTAAGAGTATCCCAGGGCAAGGGTATCTGAAACACACAAATAATGTAGTCCTAGTTTGGTATTGCACCTGACCGCCCTCTGCCTTCTTTGGCCCAGGGGGTGTAGAAGTACTGACATTGCCCTGTTCCTGTAGCTTTTTAAGGTTGAAGCTGCTTTCAGGTCTTACACTGGGCTGGCTCCTTCCTTGCTGAAAAGCTGTCTTTCCCTGGTAAAGTGTGGGACAGTGGAGGTCCTTCTTTCCAGTTTCCAGCCTGTAGGCAGACCCCCCTCTGGGGCCCCCTGCCAGGCTTCACACCAGCAGCACTTCCTCATTCCATCTTCCACTTGACTCCCCTGTTGACCAGGCTGTCTCATATTTAAGGACTGACCTAACCACCATGCCAGGTTCCTGCCTGAGGATTGTCAGATTCCCCTAAGTATGCAGGTCAGCCCCTTCTCGTCCCCCCTACGGGGTTCTAGAGCAGGGGAAGATATGAGAGAACTGACCTGTAGAACCCTCCAGCCTTAACCTTAAGTAACCTCGCTGACGCATACCCAGGCTTCTAGCAAGCCTTTAACTATGCACACAAAAAAAAATATTGGGAAGGCTTGCAAGAATGTGTATCTTCCATTTGGCATGGAAGATCTGCTTTAGGTAATCATCTTACTATGAATTTTTCACTCAGTTAATGTAAACCCTAACAATAAACCTACCTTATTTTCTGCCTTAGGTCTTTATTAGAGATGAGCGAAGTATTCAAAAATTCGATTCGACTGATTCGGCGAATTTGTGGACAATATTCGATTCGAGTCGAATATATTCGCTGTGAATTTAACTTAAAAAAGGGTGTTTCTAGGCTTCAGAGAGACTTAATATTAGTGCAGAACACTGTACCTTTAATTTAAATGCCCTTGGAGTCTGCTGGGGAAGAGAAATAATACTGTCAGTCAGTATGACATGCAGATGAGTGCCGTCGATCTTAGAATCACCGCACACTTCACTCATTTGGCCAGTCACGGGGCCAAAACCAGTGTTTGGAGCCACAGTGTGGCGGTGGAGGCAGCAGCAATGGGAGGCCATACAGCAACCTATGACAAAATGGAAACCAGCAGGAGTGTGAGGAGACCTCAAAGTGGCACATGGCAGAGTGGGAGCAATGGGAGGCGGTACAGGGACCCATGTCACACTGTGGACCCAGCAGCAGCGTGACCAGGCGGTACGGGGGCCCATGGCAGATTACAGGCCTGGCAGCAGCAATGGGAGGCCCGTAATCTGTCAGCACCCTATGACAAAAAATGGAACACACCAGCAGTGTGTGAGGAGACCTGAAAGTGGCACATGGCAGAGTGTGGCGATGGAGACAGCAGCAATCGGAGGCCGTACAGGGACCCATGAGAGACTCTGGACCTGGCAGCAGCATGAGGAGGCGGTATAGGGGCCCATGGCAGATTAGGGGCCTGGCAGCAGCTATGGGAGGCCCGTAATCTGCCAGCACCCTATGTCAAAAAATTCAACACACCAGCAGTGTGAGGAGACCTGAAAGTGGCACATGTTTGGGGCATGATTCATGGCGGATTTAGTCAGTTGTGTCAGGAACTGGTGGTTTGAAATCCAGACTAATCCACGCCTGATTCATTTTTCACAAACGTGAGTCTCTCCACACTTTGGGTGGACAGTCGTGTCCTCCGCGGAGTTGCAATACCTCCTGCCGCACTAAACACGCGCTCCGATGCCACGCTACTGGCCGGGCATGACAGCCTTTCAAGGGCAAATTCAGCTAGTTGGGGCCAAAGGTCAAGTTTCGTTGCCCAGTAGTCAAGGGGATTGTCTACCTCGGTTGGCAGGGTGCTGTCCAAGTAGGCCTAAGCCTGTTGTTTGAGGTCCTGCTCCAGGTCCACCTGATGCTGCTGCTGCTGCGGCTGGTTATTAGTTTCCTCACTGCGCTGGTGAAGAAAGCTACTCATCATCGACTGCAGACTGAGGCAGCTGCTGCTGGTGGAGCTGCCACTGCTCCTACCACCCCACCCCTCCCCTGCTGCCATGGCAGCGTAACGCGAGCGCACAGGGCCCACAGTGTCTGAGGATGGACGTTGGCGCAGACAGGCAGAGACCACTGACTACATAGGTGGTTTTTATTAGTACGTTATTTGGCCTCCCTCTCAGCAGGTGTGAAAAAGGCCACCATTTTGGAACGGTAGCGAGGGTCCAACAAGGTGGACAGCCAAAAGTCATCCCTCTGTCTGATGGTTATTATTCGGCTGTCGGTACGCAAGCAAGCGAGCATGCTATGGGCCATTTGTGCCAAGGAATGCGAGGGACTCCCTGCCTCCATCTCCACAGCATACTGCCACGGTGCGTCTGGGTCCTCTGTCATCCTCTTCCTCCTCCTCTACCAGATGCTCCTGCTCCTCCACTCCTGTCCGCTGAGTGGAAAAACCACCCATTTCACTCAATAATTCCTGAGCACCAATGTCCTCCTCTACCTCCTCCTCTTCTTCCTGTCCTGCCCCCACAGGGGTCATGTGGCGTTGAGATCTGTGCGCCACGTCTACCGCACCCTGACCAGCCATTATTAACAGCATTTGTTCCAGGACGTGCAACAGAGGAATGACGTCGTTCATCCCATAGTCCCTGCCGACTCACGAATAGCGTGGCCTCCTCAAAGGGCCTGAGCAAAGCGCAGGTGTCACGCATGACTGCCAATGGCTGACATCTAAGTTACACAGGTGAGTACCTTTATCCGCTTTTAACATCAGGAAATCTGTGATGGCCTTTTGCTGTTCGTAAAAGCGGTCTAACATATGTAGGGTTGAATTCCACCTTGTTGCAACGTCACACCGCATGAGGAGTCGGGTTACGGGGGCCCATGGCAGATTACGGGCCTGGCAGCAGCAATGGGAGGCCGTAACTCTGCCAGACCCTATGTCAAAAAAATTAAACACAAGCATGTGTGAGGAGACCTGAAAGTGGCACATGGCAGAGTGTGGCGATGGAGGACAGCAGCATGGAAGGCCGTACTGGACCCATGACAGACTCTGGACCGGCAGGCAATATAGGGCCCATGGCAGATTAGGGGCCTGGCAGCAGCTATAGGAGGCCCGTAATCTGCCAGCACCCTATGTCAAAAATTCAACACACCAGGCAGTGTGAGAACCTGAAAGTGGCACATGGCAGAGTTTCGTGGCGATGGAGACAGCAGCAATGGAGGCCGTACAGTGGACCCATGAGAGACTCTGACCTGCAGCAGCATGAGGAGCGGTATAGGGGCCCATGGCAGATTAGGGGCCTGGCAGCAGCTAAGAGGCCCGTAATCTGCCAGCACCCTATGACAAAAAATTCACACACCAGCATGTGTGAGAGACCTGAAAGTGGGCACATGGCATGAGGGACACTGTGGACCTGGCAGCAGCATGAGGAGGCGGTATAGGGCCCATGGCAGATCTAGGGGCCTGGCAGCACTATGGGAGGCCGTAAATCTGCCAGCACCCTATGTCAAAAAATTCACACACCAGCAGTGTGAGAAGACCTGAAAGTGGCACATGGCAGAGTGTGGCGATGGAGACAGCAAGCAATGGGAGGCCGTACAGGGACCCATGACAGACTCAGGACGACTTGGCAGCAGCAAGGAGGGCGGGCTATAGGGGCCCATGTGCAGATTAGGGCCTGGCAGCAGCTATGGGAGGCCCCGTAATCTGCCAGCGCAACCCTTATGATTCAAAAAATTCAACACACCAGCAGTGTGACGAGGAACCTGAAAGTGGCACACTGGCAGCAGTGTAGCGAGGAGACAATCTAGCTATGCAGGCCATGTAAGGACACCCATGACAAAATTTCTGGACACATGTCGGCACAGAGGCGAGGCGAGTAAAGGGGCCCCATGGCAGATTAGGGCCTTGGCAGCAGCTATGGGAGGCCCGTGAATCTTCCATCTCCCGATGTCAAGAACCTCAACACACCACACAGACTCAGTTGTGTGAGGAGACCGGAAATTGTGCAACAATGGCAGAGCTGTGTGGCGATGGAGAACAAGTGACAGCAATGGGAGGCCCTACAGGGGACCCACTGACAGACTCTGGACCTGGCAGCAGCATGAAGGAAGAGCTCGGTAATAGTAGGGTGCCATCACTAGGGCAGACTGAGGGGCCCGGACAGCAGGCTATGGAGGCCCGTATCTGCAAGCACCCCAATG